GAGTTGACTTAGGGAACTTCACGCCGTGCCTTCGGCTAAATAACCTAATCGTAAGGCAGCGGGGCGAATTTAGGGAATCGCGCCCATTGGGAGGCGTTGACTGAATGATCAGATCATGCGTCTTTGTTTGGTAGATTACCAAACAGGGATCCAATACTTCCCATGAAGTCAGCACACCTGCTGGAATACAATGTCCCACCGAGGTGGAACATTGTCGTCGAACACTTTGCTGGAACTGGGTACCACCCAGCTGGCACCACGAGGAGGTAGGTCGGCAAGCCAGCCAGTGCCATAAACACGTCCTCAAGGAAGACTTGTCATCAATCCCGGCCAAGGAACATGAAGCAGTCCTACCGAAGGAAGAACTTCAGTAAGCCTGGCGCAGAATCACTACCGGTGAATGCCACTTTTCATAGCGATTCTAGAACACGCCGCCGATTTATCACTGTGCTCATCAACAACGAAATCTCAACCGGGCTTCAGTTAGATACGGCATCAGAAATAATAATCACTTCCAAGAACACATACAAGCACATAAAGGGGCCGAAGCGGGTTGATTCCAACAAAGTCGCCCACAACGCATCCGGTGGAGTGCTGAAACTGGTCGGAGAAATAACTTGCAAAATTGCATTCAACGGAGTGGAACAGGCCGGAACCTGCTACTTGTCTGACCGATCAAACTTGAACCTCCTTGGGCTTGACTGGATGGAAAAGTTACAACGATTTGATGTTGCAATGCGTCAGATTTGCAATAGAGTCCAAACCGACCCAGTTCATGCATCATTGTCGATAGAATGCATGACGAGAAAGCTAAAGCAGAAGTTTGCCGCCTTGTTTGCCGATGATCTCGGTCACTGCACTAAATTCAAAGCAAAGTTGTGCCTTCGCGAAGGAAGCAATCCAGTCTTCAGAGCAAAATGACCGGTACCGTATGCAGCCATGGCAGCAGTTGATCAGGAGCTCGACCGACTGCAGCGTGACGGTGTAATCACACCAGTGAACTACTCTTCAAGGGCTGCGCCGATTATTGCTATGCGAAAGCCGAACGGTAAAGTGCGTGTTTGCGCCGATTTTTCGACTGGCCTGAATGCCGCACTGAACGGCCATCACGACCATTTTTGTCCCACCCCATCCCTCTTAGCCTCCTCCTCCAACCACAGTCTCATTATTTAGCATTTTATAATTTTGCATAGTAAATTACTTTTTTTCTGCTGCATAGTAGCCGGCAGGTAGCTTACCGGAACGATGCCCATCCGTTACCAGTAGCTCAGCTGGCTTGCACCTGTAGCATTTTATTCCCTTCTTTTAGCTATTGAGGCACTGTAACTGAGGTGTTTCCCACCTCTAGCTCACGTGTATAGCGTGTGTGTGTGTATTGGCAACGTATATCAGTGTTTTGGCTCATACGGACATTTCTATTTTCCTCAGGTTACCCTTCCCCCATATGTCTTAAGCCATCATAGTTTGAATGAGTCACTTGGGTTGCTAATCTTCAGCAATCCAAGATTTCCTAATCAATAGCATGAATAGAAAGGAGGCAGATACTGAGCGAAGGATCTTTTCGGCAGCTGTCCTCTGACCCAGACTTCACATGATGATCACATACTAAATTTGCCGGATAAAGTGCCGCGGTGGACAGCCGATGACGTGGAGAAGGAGTATGAAGAAGGCAACCTCAAGTTTGGCGGCAGTCGGACCAGTCGGCCTTCCAGGTTGGGGACCACGATATGCTGAATCGCAGTGGTTGGAAACATTAGACGTCATGGCCCGCAACAGACATCAGTGGCGTCAATGTTGTTCTGCAATTTCACCATACCTTTGATGCACACAAAAACTCACAAAACAAAACAAACATACAAAATGGCGTGTGTAAAACCAAAAAAATCGTTTCCCATATTTTTTGTTCGCATTAGTATTCCCATCTTCTTCACTTTTTTTCTTCTGCCATGGTTCTGATGGCACAATGTTTGTTAACAGACTGTGAATAAATATATATAACTATATACATTTGCCGGAAAGGGCTGTGTATTGATTAGAAAGTTGAATTTGGAACACTGGTAGCCCGGGTTGATTGCTCACCAGTCACGTGATCACTGAAGGTAGCAGATTATTTACAAGGGCAAATCACTTTCCAAACCAAGATTACCTGGGTCGTGCAACGGAAGTTGTACGCCACAGTAGAAATAAAGGGCGTACAAAATGCTTGTGTACACACAACTCCGGCTTGAGGTGGCGTATGTGGATAGCTTCTGCAATAGATAAGAGATGCTTCCGGAATCCGCACGGGATAGGCTCAAGAATAGAGTAGATGACCCTGAAATCGTTTTCCAAGCCTGCGTGACCGCACTCTAAGGGGTGCGACATGGTAGAGCTATTAGAAGACCTTGCTTCGCCTCTGTAAAACCATTTTGGAATGTGTTCGCAAATCCTATGAGAAAATAAACGCCTCGTAGTACGACCCACGTGTCGTGCACCACAAAAGCACGAATTGATCGAATCACGAGGCAGTCTATCTTTCACAAGTTTTGCGAGTGGAGGCTTGTTATAGCATACTATGCGTAGGCGGGCTGCGATATAAGTCTTTTCAACAGCGTCTTTCAGGCGTTTGCACAGGGCACCAGCCGCACTGTCGCCTTTGAAAGGGATATGCACAATTAGTTCTTTCTTGGGTACGTTGATCCTCGGCGGTTTTATCTTGTGTTCTTTCAAATGTTTGAGGATGAATTCATCCGGATACCCACTTGATCTTAAAGTGCCACTGAGTCTCCGCAATTCCTCGGTGATGGTGTCCGGTGTACACATTCTGCGTGCCCGGAAGGCAAGAGTGCGGACTAGATTCCGTTTGTACTGTAGTGTTGCCGCACTATAGAAGTTGATGTATTGCCCAGTCCAAGTATGTTTTCTATACAGCTTTCTGCTGCACATTCCATTGGTGTTTCTGATAATATCAACGTCCAGGAACGGTAGCCGGTTTCCGGACTCTTACTCACAGGTGGTGTTTAGATTCGAATGCGCGTCACTAAATGCTTACACAACAGTTGCCAAAAAGAATTCTCTACTGCTTATCTGCCTCCTTTCGGTTCATGATGGTTGTGTAGTAGAAGGGAGTCTTTTGCTCAGGTACCTGTTGTGCTACTGCTGCTACTGGTGATCGGTGTGGGGGGAAATCGAGTTGAACATTGTTGTTTTTTTTGCTGTTGTTTTTTTGTTTGTTTGTTTGAACAGATTTGTTCAGAGCAACAATCCTCACGTTTTCCTAGAGTTGCAGTCCCTAATGATAGGCTGTACAGTGTACAACACTCATATACTCATCAAGCCTAGCCGGAGATGTTGTGTGCTTTGTGCACCTGGCTAATTGAATCTTCATGTATAGCAGCAAATACACTTTTCACCATTGCAACAAAGCAACATCATTACATGCGAATGCCGCTACAAGGAACCTTCTATGATTCCGACTACGTTCATCATCCTCATCATCATCATTATCCAGTACACGTTTGTTGTGGGTGGGAAACACACCTCAGCTAATGTGCCACAGTACGAAAAAGCCAAGCTACCAAAAAGTTACACTACAAAAAATTTAAAAGTTGGTACTATAATGTTAGATATTATATTATGCACTTCGTATGAGATCGGAATTGGAGGGGGAATTACAAAGGAACGCAAACATAAAAGCCATTGGAGCAGGCTGCTAACCATATCAGCAAGTGTGTCCAACCAACCTGTTCATCCTCCTTAGCACCCCAACCAGACAGTCGGGATGTACCAACCGACACCAACTTCGATGTGAGGGTTTTCATCTCTCTCGACCAAGTCATCGCTTGGCCTCCCTTCCTCCTCTTCCAACCGCACCCCCGGCACGCAAACAATACACGTCGCGGAAGTCGGTGTGCTGGCATGCGCAACAGAAAAATTGCGTTCACCGACCGTATGATGAGTGTCCCGAAAAAACGCACTGAATAGATCGCCACCGATGAATGCATAGGTCAGTATGGTTCTGTGCTTCCTTCTGGTCGAGGAAGTGGATATACACAGATACAGTACGTTATGCAGGGGAAGACTGGCATCCTTGCCTTTTTTACCGCGAATTGATACCATTAAGCACTCCAATCTCAGCTGTAAAAATAGGGATTGGTCACGTATTCGCCGACTGATTGGATGAATTACCAAGTGGACAATCGACTTAACGACAGACAGGCTATCTGTCTGCCTGATCAACTGACGAACGCGTTGTTATAGATAACCGTGCAAAGTTCATTCATCAGTGTGTTCCGTGCGGTTCAGTGCATAGAGTAGCTAGTAAACTGTCGTTCGATAGTTCTACATCGAATACCACTTCAAAGCCGGTTTTACTGCATTATCTATTCTCTAAACGAACTTCGTATTCCGCTGAGCTGATCGCATAAACCAGACACTTAATCTAGTCGTCCTCTTAACGAAACGGTCTTAGCTTGTTGTCATCAACTTGTCATATATATATATATACCCATTTAACTATAACTATATTTTTCTAGCCCGAATACTTATATGGTAATGCTCGGACAGTGAATTCGACTCTTGCTCCACTTTGCTATCCATCTTTCTGGACATATAGTAAGATGACCACTCACGAGACTGCACCAAAGTAGTCAAGGTAGCGTGCTGTATAACATACATTGGTCTGGTCAACGTTCAGACAATGATAAAGGCAGGAAGTGGTTAACTTGGGAGGTTTTTTTTGTATGCTCACTAGCTTAATCCGTAGGCACAGATTTACAGTGGCGTCCGCCCTTTTGCTGCGGCATGCTGACACCCATTTCCGGGTTTTGATCTCAAAATCGTGACTAGGCCAGAATCGCTTATTTGTTAGCTCTATGTCTCAGGCTCAGTTTCTTGCGCTAATTATATGCACAACTGCTGCTCTCTTATCGTCATTGAGGTTGAAGAAACACAGCTTTTTATCTTTCCATCATTATGCAACCGATTCACTTTTGTTCGCGCCTGTTTTTACGTTACTTTAGACTCTTCCACCGTCCCATCCGCGCGTCCCGCACCCAGTCACTGTCCTCAGCAGCAGCAACAGCCGCCTCCGCAGCATCCCGGTTTCTCTCTCGACTCCCCACCCGTGTTACCTCCACGTGTGCATTGTCGTGGGCATTCATCATTCAGCTCGTCCCATTCACTTGCATCGTCTACGAGCAACACTGTAGACACGTCTGGCCGTGTGGGCGTTAGTGACGTTCCTCCGGACCACCTTCCACCACCGTTGCCGCCCAAGCGACAAGCCGCCAAAAGTGGAGTTTCTCAGCCTTGATCTCTATTCTTTTCTTTTCGGTGTGTAGAATTCGTGTAACATCTCTTGCCACATCGGCTGTCTCCAAAGTGTCTCTAACACGTATGTTAGCACATTTCCGATGATACATTCCCCTTGAACGTATGCTGTGTAAATCCATAGTTGCTCTCACTGTTGACCCCCTTTCCTGTCTCTAAGCTGTACATAAAAAACACCTCTCGAATTATTTTGGCAATGCAGGCAGCAGTATATGGACGATCTCCCATTCTCTGTTCTCTCTCCCTGTCTGACGCGTACACACAGGGATCGCAGATCAGTTTCTCAGTGTGCACGTTTTTTTCATGTGCAATAATTCCTGCTTCTCTGATTCATTGTACACAACCTCATCATGAGTATTTTTGTAAGGTTCTCTTGATTTTGCAACCGCATCCATTTGCCAACCTCATTGAATTGGCCTCAAACTGTACCTCGTCCACTAGCTTATTCTCGTGAACAGGTGGGCTTCGAGTTTTGACCATTTGATTCCGAAAACCACGCAATTACAGTCCAATTGGTTTTGCCACTAGGCTCGGTTTGATGAGTGTGGAGATTAACGTACGTTCATCTTTCGTAGGTATGTCGCGATGCTGATACTATTCTTCATCTCTTGTACTATTAAACCACCTGAGATGATCTTGCATCACTCTCCTGACTCTTTCTAATTCTCTTTGCATCATTGTTTTTGTTAACCAACTGTCAAACCTAGAGTAGGCGAGCGACACAGATACAAAAGATTCAATAAACAAGCAGATAGATCTCAACTCTGTCTACTAACCACTGAGTAGAAAGGAAATCAACCAGTTAACACGCCACCGGCTGAATAAAGTGACATCCGACCGGTCTTTGTTACTTCGTCCGCGGCCGAAATAATCTTTACACCAATGGGATTGAAGAGATCCATCCCACCTCGCAAATAATAGCAACTGCCAAAGCATTCCCGAGCGCAATGCGGTTGACGTAAGGTTAGTAACGTCCGATATATGCATAAGGAGCAGTCAAGTGGCCAACGGCATCCACCCGGTGGTTTCCTCGAAGCTACATGTCTTCCAACAAACCCACTACAACGCACTGGAGATGTCACCTCGATTGGTGACCTAACGTTTGCAAGCAAATTGCCAACATCGGCGAACAAGTGCACACCCGACTCGAGCTACCAGTTTTTCGACTTATTTCAATTTGATAGGGCTTTCATCCCAATAGTTCACAAGCTACGTAGCAGAGCCTATTCCGGAAAAGCACCAGACGTGTTTCGCCCTATTGGGGCTCGTCAATGGTGCGCATTCCCTCGGTTCTCTAATGAGGATCGAACCCATGACCGCTAGAGGCAGATGCCAACTAACTAGCAGCTTAAGCCACTGAGCTGTGGGGCGCGTTGGCTGGGCTACATCATTTGCAAATTTCATTTTGGTGTGATCTAGCTGGTATTCAAACGCTACTGAGTAAGCTGACGATTAGCGTTATGTGCTTTGGTGTACGTTTCACTTTTTTAAAATGCTGCTTGTTTAATGTGCCGACTCATCACCAGATCACATTAGCACCGGCCGGCAGTTTTACTTTATCGATTGATTGACTTATTTGGAAAGCGATATCATAACTAACAGTTATTCCTGACTGCCGTACGGCCCCTCGAAAGCGAGACACTCTAAATAATAATAATTATCAATCTGAGAAGCTGCGTTCAAATTTGGTTCCGATCATATACTTAAAGGTAATGCCATGCTCTTGCATGGACAATATGTAGTTGTGGCGATTAAAACAACAACCGTATCTTCATCCTCAGGGCGAGACATATTCCAACTGGATTGTAGGATTCTTGGTGTACGACGGAATCTCAAGGAGCAGATGTTTTGATATTGGGAGCGCGGTGTTTTCGGTCGGGCAACACCAGATTCCTATCTGCCGAACAGATGGAAATCAAGCCTCATTCGTGAAGGATCTGTCACCCTAAATAATGAACGCGTCCCTGCACAGCTATTCACGCGAGATCTTGGAATTAGGTACTCGTCTACCTTCAATTTCTCCGAACAGGTCCAATACCAAGTAGCACGTGCCAGACAATCTGTGTTCAATAGAACCAACAACCCATGCTAGCTTTGCGCTTTTCAAGCTACTCACTCGCCTCATCTTCAAATATTGTACCATAATATACGGCAATATGCGAGTGACAGAACTGCTATGGAGCGCCTGCAGAGATCATTTACTAAACACCTTATTGGTAAGCACTTTGTTATGAGTTATCCAGAACGTTACAATGAACTTCTTCTCGAACCACTTTGCATTCGGCGATTGAAGCACAACTTGTTGCTGCTTTTCAATGTGCTACACAAAATGACCTTTTTCGACCTGTCTACATTCGAATTACAACAGCGCTCAACTCGAGCGCTTCGCAGCAAAGATTCTACACTGATTATACCGAAGGCTAGAAAGAACGTCCGCTCTACTTTTTTCCTGGTCAGATATAGCTATCTGTGGAATAAACTACCAATAACACAGGTCATGTGACAGTTTGGCAACATTTAGAAGCAGACTCGCCAGTTACCTTGAACTAACTACCGTAAGCTTTATATTCACATGGGAAAAATCCCTCAATGAGCTGTTCCGGGAGGGGCCCAAAAATATCTAAACACTAATGTTTTCATAACTAGGCTTTTGCCTTAACCATCCATCAGAACGTAATTACATGAAACGCATACCCCAAAATCCATCGTGATAAGACTGGACCTTAACTTAGTGCGATGGTTCGCGTGGTTCAGATACCCATCGAACTTTACTGAGTGGTGCTTTTTTGCACCTTCAGAGCCACTCATACCAGATTAGTCAATGACCAGACAAACTCAGCCTCCTGGTCCTCCAGGTTGGGGGTTGGAATGGGGGTAGCCCCTTATTCTTTAAAAAGGATTTATTGTAGCCCAACACCAAACCCGATGCCTTGCGGTCAGGTTTTTGAACCAAAGGCTTTGCTTGAGAACCCTAACCGTCCTCCTGTCTAGGCCTGGGCAACCTGACAGTATCATGCCCACGCGATACACCATGCTTTTTTCTCCTATCATTCTCTTGATGATCTGGCCGTCGCGGATGGTAATAAACGGCGCCCTATCTGCTACATCGAGCAGTGTGGATAGGGGTTTGGGTGCTACTGCTCAAGCCTTCCCGCCTTCTTATTCTCCATCTTGCGCTTTTTCATCCTTAGCCTCCCGTTCCAACTTCACTTTTATCCCCCCCCGTTTTCAGTCCCCCCAATTCCTGACCCTCCGTCACCCTGCTTGATAGTCGCTTGTCTTCTAGTTTTAACTCACAATCACAGAGCGGACAATGTCAGTTCATCGGTTTGCATTTGGAGTCCTCGATCCTCGCTAAAACTGGCTGCAGATTGACCAACAGGCAGCACTTGTCCGAATACTTGAGATCCTCTCGATCGATAGTTGCTGTTTATGGGAAACCCGCATGCAAGATTCGAGCTCCATGCTTACTCTGCGATCCCCCCCACATCCGACACTGGCGGCACATTCTCATTGCGCCTGTCTGTCGATGACACAGCTTCAAACGCAGGTCAATCTGGCGTCGACATTGATTTGGGTCCAGAGGCTGAAGCTTTCTTGATCGACTGGATCCCTGTCAACAGCCGGATGTGCGCCGTTAGGTTGGCTGGCTCGTTTCAGACTTCGAAGTCGTACAGGAACAAACGGTGCCTGTTTGTCATTGCGGCTTACGCCCTCACAAACTGCAGTCCTGATTCGGTAAGAGATGATTTCTATCACCAACTTAACCATCTTCGTTACAGAAGAAGCCCGGTTACTGTGGTGCTTGCTGGTGATCTAAAGGCGCAAGTCGGAAAATTGTCCTCTGATGAGCTCCATCTGGGCGGCCAACATTGTCTAGGCTCGCGTGATGATAACAGTGAGCGGTTGCTACAACTGTGTGAAAGTGCTCATCTCCTTCTCGCGAGCACTAACTTTCGACACAGCACCCACAGAAGTGTGACTTGGAGCCCACCAGCCATGGACACAAGTCGATCACATTGCGATTAGTTATCACTGGTGAGGCTGGGTCCAAAACTGTCACACGCTTTGGATGACCAGCGTGGACTCCGATCACGCTCTTGTGTGTGTGTGCCGACCTCGGGGCGCGTTTCGGAAAACCTCGCTCTGAGCGCATTGACACTTGCCAGCTGGCGAAGCCAGGTGTTCTGAGTGCGTATCAAACTACACTGGCATCTGGGCTGAGTAAGCGTCCACTGAACACAATTGAAGATCCCTGGTCGCATATTCGTCAGACGTCACTATCAGCAGGCATGTCTTTAAGTGGCAAATCAAGTTGCCAACCTAGACATTGGGTCTCTACAAAGTCTCTGAAATTTATGGATCATCGCCGACGTATTCCGGCTGGAAGCGAATACAATGAGACTCGTAAAATTCTCAGGGCAAAACTGCTTGCTAGCCTGAAGAGAGACCGCGAAGCCTGGTGGTCTCATCGCGCATCGGAAATGGAAACGGCCGCTGTCGAGGGTAATCATCGTAAGTTATTCCGTCTGATACGGGAAATAGGCAGCAGGAGACCTGGTGTTAGCGGGACAATACGTAACGAGAGTGGACAACCGATCCAAAGCTTGTCAAAACGCTTGGAGCGTTGGGCCGAACAATTTGCAAGGCAGTTTAAGCAGTCTGACTTATCGCTTACTCATTTTCGGACATTAAGTTCCATTCTCTATGGGCCGTCTCCTTAGTTTCTCCCTCACGCGCAGAAGTCGTACGTGAGATCAGACTGCTGAGATTGCATAAGGCCGCTGGTGCAGATAGAATTCCCCCAGCTCCCTACAAATTCCGGGGACCTACTTTTGTGGATAAGTTGCTGGTGAAACTTTGGAAGCAAGAGGCTGTCCCGACAGACTAGAGCCGTTCCGTCATAGTCCCAATTTTCAAGCGAGACTTCCGTACGGAATGTGACAACCATAGAAGGATCAATCTGGTTTTAATCGCCACTAA